TTTAAGTCAAAATGTTGTAACTTGGAACTGATTTCCCCATCGGAAACAATGTTATAAATGGGGGCTTGGTTCCTGAACCAAGGCCCGATACCTTATTTTCACCAAAACCCCCCCCAGAATTTTGTACTAAATCAATTAGAAATGAGTAATATAGCTACATTAATGCATTTATATTGTAAATAGCAATCATATTGGTTTGGAAGTACTTCTCTGAGGTGACTTTGCTGGACTGTTTGAAGGGCTTTTGGCTGGAGTCTTCTTGGGAGTCTTGGCTGCCGGTTTTGCTGGAGTCTTGTCTGCTTTCTTAAAGAAAGTGTCCAAGGCAGTTTGGACAGATGTTCTCCAGGGAGATGGGCGATGCAGTGAACTTGTTCCCTGGCGTGGCTTCACGTCAGATCAAGCGTTGTAAAGTCGAAACTGATGTCACAGTTGAAATAGGGTGTCAATTTATAAATGCGGTAACTCGAAGCGTTGTAAGTTGAGGGCTGCCTGTATTAGAGTTAATAAACACCTGAGATCTGCCAGATTAATTACTGGTTTCTCAACAGTGTCAAGAGTCTTGTCTGTTTCTCCTGTATTTTGGACTCTAAGATCACTCTGCCAGCAAATTAAAAACAGAAGCATCACATTTATTAAAATACTATTTTTCCTTTTCAGTGCCCTCTTAACTTTCCTTCCATCAGAAGGTACCAAGTAAATTTATCACTATTCAGCTTCTCTTTTTTTGCTTGTCTTTTTTTTTCTCTTCAATTTTAAATGCAAAATATATTTTAATAAACTTTACTCTTTTGTATTCAGCACACTTAAGATCCTTTCAGTTTGCTAATAAAAGCAATTTTTAAAATGCAGATTTTGTGCATTTTAATTAAATTCTTTTTTACATCCAAATGCAGCCTGAAAACATTGTGAATTAAAACAAAACAACAAAGCGTTTATTCACTTTTTCTCCTAACATAATAAAAATGTATGAAGCGACATGACTACTTCTATAAACACATACAGATGCACTGTATTGTCCTGGTTAGCAAAATGAAATACCAAGTTATGTTTGGTATCTCTTATACCAAGAGATTTGTTTGGTTTTTTTAGAAAAATAACTAATAGCAAACGGATTAAAACGGGTGTTTGAATCAAGTGTTCTTGCTTGCTGGCTTAAATCATGATTTTAGTTATTTGACTAATTTTGATTTAAGCCACTCTGCCTGAATCAATCAGTTCAACCTCCTACATTGTTGTTTGAAGAGATGGGAGAGGTGCAGCTTAGATGAAGTCAATATTGTAGTGTTCAGGAAAATGAGAAATTGGGCTTTTTCTGATTGTCTTCCTTCTTTTTTAATAAAAGGGTACATTGACCTTTGTTACCCAACTTTTGCATATAATAAAGCAGCAGCACATGGTGTGAACACCTTTCTTTTTCTTTGTTTGATTTTGCAGTTAACTTTTAAGAATTTCAGCGAACATGATCGAAATGAAATACTTAAGATATCCTAAAGAAGAAGACCTCAAATGTATGATCATTGATCAACTAACTAAATGGGCTGTTAGAAAGTACCTCACTTCTTGTTGTCATTTTTCTGTTGTTGTTTCATAGGAAGTCTCTCTATCAGGTTGTCATACAGACCATAAAAAGGCACAGCCTACAAAGTATCTGTCTTTTGACTAAGCCAGTCAGGATTGTTAAACTGACTCAGGGTTGTGTCAGTTGTGTTTGTATGTGTGTACTTGGCATATTACTAAAGGATCCTTGCACTAAAAAGTGGGTATCATTTAAACAAAGCAAAAAAGCCAAAGGAGCTCACTCAAAAGCTTCGGGAGGGGGCGATGGGCCTAAAATCAAGGTGAGGGAACACCTTGAGGAACTGGACATTTACAAGTCCGCAGGCCCCAACGGAATGCACCCGAGAGCCTTGAAGGAGCTGGCAGACATCACTGTATCCCTCTTGGCAGAGAGATTTGAAAAATTGTGGCGCTCGGGCAAGGTCCCAGATGACCGAAAAAGAGCCAACAAGAAAGGGAGGAGGGATGATCTGGGGAACTATAGACAAATCAGTCTTACATCTGTCCCTGGAAAAATCCTCAAGAAAATTATCAAGGGATCCATCAACACCAGACTGATGGAAGGCAAACTTGTGAATGCCAGTCAACATGGCTTTGTGACTGGCAGGCCGTGTCTGACCAACCTCGTCTGCTTCTATGACCAGGTAACATGTGCCCTGGACAAGGGAGATGACATGGACATCATATACCTGGACTTCAAGAAGGCCTTTGACCTAGTTCCCCATGATGTCCTCATGGTTAAGCTGTGGAACTGTAGCCAAGATCATCATACGGTCCAATGGCTAGGCAACTGGCTACGGGGTCGGACCCAAAGAGTACTAGTTGAAGGGAGCAAATCAACATGACTCAGGGTGACCAGTGGAGTCCCTCAGGGTTCGGTACTTGCGCCGGTACTCTTTAACATCTTCATTAAAGATCTGGATTTGGGTGTCAGATGTGAACTCACCAAGTTCACGGACGACACCAAATTATGGGGGAGGATGGTCACGCTGCAGGACAGACTGGGGATACAGGCCAACTTGGACACAGTCTCAAGGTGGGCCGACCAAAACCTGATCGCCTTCAATGCAGAGAAGTGTAAGGTGCTGCACCTTGGTAGGAAGAACCCCCAGCATACTTACAGGCTAAGCAGTGTTACGGTCACTAGCACCACGACCGAAAGGGACTTGGGGGTCTTGATTAACCGCAAGATGAATATGAGCCACCAATGTGATGCTGTGGCTGGCAAAGCTAACCAAACTCTGGCATGCATCCACCGTTTCATCTCAAGCAAAACCTGGGAAGTCATCCTCCTGCTTTACTTGGCCCTGGTGAGACTGCAGCTGGAGTACTGTGCCCAGTATTGGGCCCCCCATTTCAGGGAGGATGTGGAGAAGCTTGAGAGAATCCAGAGGAGAGCCACTCATGTGATCCAAGGCCTGGAGGGAAGGCCATACGAGGAGAGGCTGAGGGACTTGGGACTCTTCAGTCTGAAGAAGAGAAGGCTCAGGGGGGACTTAGTGGCAGCCTACAGTTACATAAGAGCGGTACATCAGGATCTGGGAGAACACCTGTTCACCAGAGCTCCACAAGGGATAACAAGGTCTAACGGCCATAAACTCCAGGAAGGCCGATTTAGACTAAACCTAAGAAGAAAGTTCGTTACAGCGTGTGTCCAGGGTCTGGAACAACAACACCCCCCCCCCCCCCCCCCGTGTCCAGGATCTAGAACAAACTCCCTACAGAGGTGGTGCAAGCACCCACTCTGGATTCCTTCAAAAAACAGGTGGATATATTCCTTGCTGGGGTCACTTGATTCCAGCTCACTTCCTGCCTATGGTGGGGGGGCTGGACCCAGTGATCTCTCAGGGTCCCTTCCAGCCCCTAATGTCTGTGAAATCTATGAAAATACATCTGATTTCCAGCTTGCAAGTATAATCTCTAACATATTTTAAACACATTCCTTGTGAATGAGTTAAATAAATGGTAAGTATGTTAGAAACGGAAATGTCTGCTGTTTGTGGGCATATGTGTCCCAAAAACCTCAGTAAGAGTATCCTTGTTCTGTCCCATTTTAGGAAGATTTTGAGGTTTAGAATATAAACATGGCCTATACATGTCTTATAATTTTTAATATAATTATTTAGCATTTGTTTTGTCTTAAGCATGCAGCTTCTTCATTGCAGTACTAAATCTGTATTAAGCTTTTAGTCGCGTTGCATTGCCTGCCTGAGTATAGTTTCAGAAAATTCATTTTATAAAAGGAATTCCATGCAAAGTAGTTTACTTTTTGTTGGACAACCCAGTTATTTGTTACTGGACAAACTTTTAATAATACATGCACAGCTGGCATGGCCAAGTAGATATCCAGATACATGTGAAAGCAGAGTTTTCTTTGGTACGCGCCTATATTTGCAACTCTATTTGCATGCATTCTCCATTTGCAAGCTTCCGGTGCTGGAAACAGTGGTAACATTTCTGCATCACTTTGGAAGAGCTGGCTGTGTACTTGTGCACTGATTTTGTAATAGTCATGTTTTGGTCTTCACGTTATGTGCTAGTAAAACATACTGTAAACTAACTTGATGGCAGATTCTTCATTTGACTATGGGCAATTCTGTATTTAAATAGTAATTTAATTGCAGTTAATAGCTTCTGAGCCATCAACAAACGTGTGGAAAAGCCGAGTGAATATGTTGTTAGGAGTAACATTTATGTTCTTGCCCTTGTAGTTCTTTTTGCTGTGTTTTAATTATTATGGCTGCTTATATACACAATAAATTAATTCAAAATAATAACTTAAGGTGTTGTACTGCTACACATTACTGTGATGTCTGAAGGCATTCCACACTCAGTAGACTGGGAATAGTGTTGCCTCTAGTGGACTCTGCTGTCTTTGGCTCTCTTCTACCTTTTCAGTTTATAGAAATCTTTGTTTCGAATAGGCTTCTTTTTTTTTCTGGGGATGCATGAAAAGCAGTGATTTATTGTGAATGTCATTCTGATTATGGTGGTAAAGTTTTATTTAATAAGAAATCTTTATAGCCTTGCCTAAAGTTGATCACACTTGATTGTACTACTCTACTCTGGAAGTTTGTTCTACAACCTGACTCTGGACTACAGGTTTCTTGTCACATCTGTCGCGTCTTATTCTGGGTTTTGTCTTCTGCATTGTTCCAGATGATTGCAGCTTCCGGGCAGGTTCTCATATGGATACATTATGCTTTGAAATAGAAAATAAAAAATTGCTCAATCGTGGACACTTCTACTTTAATCTTTTAAAATAAATGTTATTCCAATCCCTAGCATGTTTCAAGAATTCTGCTAATGCAGCATTGTAGAGATTCTTGAGATATTGCATGTGTGGCCCACATTTCTAGGCTAAAATATTAAATGTGATCCAGGTGTCGCAATTTGTAAATGCAGAAGTGTGTATTACATAGTTTTCTCTCTACCTCCAACAGAATCTGTCTATGACCTTCTCCCAAAGGAGCTGCAGTTACCACCCTCTAGAGAAACATCTGTAGCATCCATGAGCCAAACAAGTGGTGGTGAGGCAGGTTCGCCTCCTCCAGCTGTCGTTGCTGCTGGTAAGGATTCCATTTTATTCTGTTACGATATTAAGGTTATAATTTTCTGGCCAACATGAACAGTGATGACAGTTTTGGTGTCTAAGAAAAAATCCTGAAGTAAAAAATGAGAGCTCATTCTAGGAGACTTCTGATAATGAAACTAAGTATAATTACATAAGTTATTATATATGCCATCTTACAAGTTATGTTAATAACACCAGCATTGCATTTGTAATATATTTAAAAGAAAGATTTAATATTAGTATTTTGATTGGTACAGTCTTCAACATTATAGATGTGTATCAACTCCTAGAATGTGCTCTTGTCTCCAACTGTAGAAAGCACCAATTTGGAACCGAGTCAGTCTGTTGACTGTTTATAAAACAGTGAATTCCAACTAGGATATAAAATGGAATATGAGATCATATTTTGGCCGTGAGGCTTTTATCAGGCTACAGAAATAGAAAATACAGTTCTCTGGGTTTTTTTGCAGAGCCTGAAGAAGTTCTCAGGGTTAAATCACATTTGCTTTTGTAGTACATGCTACAGCTTTTTATTTGACACTGAAACTTAAATGTAATTTACTAGTCACTGTAAAATTAGACTTAATGTTTTAATGATAAACTGTAATTTACAAAAAGAATTATGCTGCCCTTGGGGGAAAAAATCTAAGGCATGCTATTTAGTCTTAGTATATTGTATTTATTTTATTTCCCAAGAAAGCATATTTTAGAATAAAATCACAAAGCCCCTTTCATTGATCTTCATTTAAAAAATAATAAGGAAGAGGTAGAGTACTGCTAAGAACAAAATTTTGATTTCTGAAGTTGGCAACAGCATAATTCGCTGCTGACTTGCACAGCTGTAATTCCTCTTTAGTCAGCTGGTATGGACTATTAAGCACCTTCACTCTAGCAAAAAAGCAAAGTAATCATTGCACCTGCAGATAATGCATCTTCTCTCGTGATTTGGGATTTTGGGGATAATCTGATCCCTACAATCTTTATAAAGTAACATCAAGCTTGTAAAAAGAGAAGTGTGTTGGCCTTAAATTCTACAAAATTAATGTTTGAAATGGGAATGCTGAGAGCTGCATTATAAAGAAAGCACTCACTGTGTGTTCATATATATATTAACCCTGTATGAGAACATTTCCCCCAGAACTGCACAGTGCAATAAGCAGTCTTACTGGCTGGACACTGAGATGGCTTAAACCTGGTAGAGAAACTTTTCAGCACGGATCACCGTTCATGTTTTGCCAGACATTTTCTAAAAGAATCTGTGGATTTAATTGTGTCCTGTGGAATTTGTTAGTTACTACATTTTATAAGATGTGGTACTCTTTGTAATGTTTGATCCCAAAATAGTCCAGCGTGCCCTTAACTTCAAGGTATTTTAGCTCAGTATTTCATAGTGAATCTGGTTTGATGTTACAGCAGCAACTGAGCATTTTTTCAGAAACAGATAATTTTTTTGAAGGTATTGCTACACTTTAAATCCACAGATAAAAATTGACTGCTAATTATTTCTTTATTTTTTTCCTGAGACAAGTTAAGTAATGAATTTAGATAAATGGAACTAAATGTCTGTTACCTCTAGGCTTTTAGCCAATATTGATACTCAATCCAGTTCCTTTTTAAAAAAATCTGGAAATACGGTAGCTGTGTTTTAGTTTCACTGCAGCACAGACCATTCTTTCCTTAAAAACAAACAAACAAACCAACTAAAAAAACTATTATACTTTAGAGGTTTATTTTTAAACAGTGGAAGAAAGTACCATATTAATTGAACCTAAAGGACTTTCTAATGTCACCCAGATTCACATTCATCAGCACTGTGAGAAACCAGTTGAGCGTTCAGTTTTATAAGGTGCAGTTAGGAAGCTGGGTCAAAAATAGTATGCCTGATTCTAAGAGACCTAAAGATTTAGATATTACAAGCTTTATTAAAAAGCAGGATGAAATGTTATAAGTTTTGTTCTCATCACTAATGTTACATTCCTTTAAAAATGAGGATGAGAATGATGGAGTCTTAGTCGTTTCAGTACATTTATATTTGTATTTGTAGCATTGCCCAAAGCCTAAATCAGTGATCAGCCCTCCCCCTTTCCCTAGTTGTCCCTGTTGTATAACAGTGATGAACCCTAAGCCAAAACTTTTATGGAAGAATCTTTTAAAGGAACATACAAAGAGTTAAGTGATGCAACCCTGTTGATTTTCAATGCAAGTTCAGGGTTTTAGTACCTTGAAAATCCCATCTTGTACCCTGTCAGTCTTATCCACTGTTCACTTGTGTCACCTGCTGAAATGACAAGTCTGTCTTCTATTTTATGAAATTAATGATAATGTTAGTATATTTTCCTTTACTCTGCCTTCATCATGCCCTTGAAAGAAAGAAAAAGATGTGCATCTAAGGAGAAGAACTTTCCCTTGGAAAAGAAGACAACAGGGGGGAGACTTGCCCCCCTTTTTTGCCCCTCCTCCCCTCCCCCCTACACACACAGAGCGAGAGCTGGGGATGAAAAAGAGAATCTGTTCTCCTCCTCCCCAGGAACTTGGATCTGTTATGGAAGATGAGGGAGAGAAAAACACCTTATGTCCTCAGGAACTGCTTGAGTGTGTCTAAGTCTGAGGCTTGAGTATGTTAACCCTAATCTGAAACTGGGAAAACAGCTCTCTGCAGAAGAGTGGAGGGTAAGGAGAGGAGGGAAGTGTGGAGCTCTACAGGGGACTCTAGCAGATGGTTACTGATGTTGCACCCAAAGGACATATTTGCACTTCCCTGACCATACAAGGGATTACTACTGTAAAAACACTTTCCCATTCACTTCCTAGTGCACATTAAAGCCAGAATAAAAAAGCAGCATAGCTGGAGTTTGGTGTGTGTGCTTAGCACCACTTTGCTTCTGGTGTGTTTACATCGGTGCTTTCCCAAGGCTGCTCTAATAGTGGATACACCATGTTTTTTGACATTTGGTGTGATCAGAATGAGTGAATGTACTGGGCATGTTAGATGCGGTACAGAATCGTGTGAGCTCTTTGACCCCCCTCCTGCTGCTGTTTCAGAAGGACCACTGGGTCCTGCTGCACATTTCTTATTTGATCCTCAGAGGTGAGATGAGTTGCACAGTAAAGGTTATGCACTGAGAACTTGGGCTTTATTTTATCCAAAGAGATGTCTTCTGACCAGAGGTATTCACTGGCTCTGCCTCCCCCCCTTCCCTTTGGCCACAAGGAGAGGTGTATGTTACTTCAGCTGCCCTGGGAGGTCTAAGGAGCTTGGCATTTGAGAGATGAGTTAATAACCACTTTAACTTTTTTTGGTATTTTGGAGGGCTTGATTCTCCAATTTCCAAAGGTGCCGAAATGTCTCATGGTGGTGACCTCCATTCAACCTGACCATCACTTGTAACAAATCAAGGCCTTCAAAAAAAGAGGACATTCACACTTTCATATGGCTGACACTTGTATGGATGGTAGATTTGATAGGGAAGGTGACCTTGGCAGCTTAGAGCTCCAGTCTGTTTGTTCTTGAATCTTTCCGTTGTTTTGTGTAAATCTTTTGTGTCTGATCTTATTTATCCTGAAACTACAGTGTTTTATGGAAATGCTAAGAGGCCAAACCTTTGTTATTGTAGAATAGCCAATTTAAATTGACTTGGTTATTACTGTAAGAGATGAAGCAAACCAGAAATGTCAAGTGTCAAGAAAACAGCTGCAGGTATACATTTAAGTGGCAATGAGAGGATTGAATAATAGACAATGACCAAGTGATCAGAGATTCCCCACCTCCCCCCTCCTTTAAGATTTAACATAAGTTCATTCCCTTTACCTCATCACAAGGTAGCACAGTATCTGCCTAGAAAACGGTCAGCTTAGTCTTTTTCTATCAGTTGTGTTGATCTAAGGTTTTGTTCCTTACAGTATGTATTACATAAAGGTCTTGCTGCAATTAATTCTTCAGATTTTTAAAGGAGCGGGATTAGCTGTTTTCTGTTATAAGGGCCTGGCAGGAGCAGACTTCTAGTTCTTCTATTTAAGATTTGTTTTACAATTTACAGAACTGTTTAAAACTAAAATAAAGGTTGATAATTGGGTTCTCATGAACACATTTGATTATTTTAGTAACAAAACAAGGATCTCGTATTCATCAATCCAGGCTGAAGGGGTTTTACCCACTCTTAATGTTAATCAGGCAAGTATAACCAAGTAGGAATCCAGAGTTTTATGCTGCAACATTTGATGCCCTCAGCTTCTTTCTCAGGCACCTAGATATGTCACACTTCCAGAAAACAGAAGACAGCAAAGTGGCTCCCCAGGAGATAGCATTAGACTAACATTGTGGGCTCTCTGTTTACTACTCCCTTTTGTCAAGTCTTCATTCAGAGAGCAGTTACAAGAGGAACATGCGAATGAAGTGTGTCCCTCACATACCAACATGAGCGTATTCCCAAGAGTAAATACGGATCGTTTGTGAGGCTCTTCAGTTGCAGATGATAGAGATGAAGGCTTTATGCCAAGTAGTTCCAGTGTTGGCTACACTCTAATTTCTCGTTTACAGAGACCAGTGTGGCTGGAGCTCACGTAACCTACTTTCCAACTTTGCCTGTGATTATAATTTTCATACCTTTGTAACAAGTGGTACTTGCTTCTTCAGTTGCATTTCTCAAATGTTGACCAGATTTTTTGCACCGAAGGATACTTTCTGTTCTGCAACGTTGGTTGAAACAAACTGTCATCTTTCTGTTCAGAATGCTAATTTAAGTCTCTCTAACTGTGTATATTGCTAGAAGCAAGTCATAAACCCTCTGTCTTTTATTTGGAATACTTCAAAAGCCAGTGCCCCTCTATCCTAAAACACTTTAAGCTTTTTGAAAGATAAATGTGATGTGTGAACCTTACCTCTGAATTAGCAGGTGTGATAAAATTGTCCACTACGTAGAAAACTGCAAGAGAGTCTTGGTTGTGAGCTGTCTTCCTTTTTCTTGTCCCTCTGAAATAATCGTTACAAGGATAGTTTGAAAAGTGTTGTAGATGAATAAGAATGAATCCTTTCCAGCATATCTTTTTCAGAGTTCTTGTTCCTCTTACCATTCTGTCACAGTAAGCATTAGGTCCTGCTTCCATGTTTTCCCCCTCCTGACATTAGGAAAAGTCTTCCAGCCTACAGCTGGCTCTCTGTTAGCTTCCAGTTCCCGTCTCAATGTGTTTGTCTCTAGTGATAATCAAACAGCACACCCTGTAAGCACAGGGTAACACTCACTGAACCATATTCATTTCATCCTTTTAAATTGCATCCGCACGTGTAGAATGAAATGAGGTGTGTTGCATGATGTATTTTTGTGCTAACAATATCCAGTAAAAAATTATATTAATATCTTGAAAGAGCATTGCATAGACTTGCATATAAAAACCTTCCCTGCACTCTCTCATGTCCCCTCTCCTGTCCAGAAATAAAAAGGTCTTCTGTGGGATGCTGTTAGTTGCCATCCTGGTGATGTAAGGCATTATGGCATTCCTTTATGCAGAAGTTTGTCCCTCTGAAAGGAGGTTAATGGGAAAATCTATAGTAGTGTAGTATTTGCTAAGTAATTGAATCTACCACTGTTGTGGGCTGCTGGACTGTTTGTTTCTTTTTAAAAAAGTATGTGGCAGGTTTACAGAGGTAATCAAGCTTCTCTATAAAACAAAACAGAAACCCACAACAAATCAAACTCTCAGATACACTTTTGCACATTTCTATGAAAATTGAATTTTGCCATCTACTTGTTAATCAATGGAAAAGCTAGATAATCATTTTTCCAGTCTTGAGACCATAGGAACTGGTTCACTTTATTTTCCTCCATAAAACTGAAGAAGCTGTATAAATTGTACTTGCACTTAAGTAACTGAAACTGTTATCTGCAAATAAAACTTTAAAATCCTAGAATCATAGAAAATGAGGATTGGAAGGGACCTCAGGAGTTCACGTCTAGTCCAACTCCTTGCTCAAAGCAGGACCAGCCCCACCTAATTATCCTGGCCAAGGCTTTGTCATAATTTCATAATAGGTAGGGTCGGAGGGGACCTGAGCAGATCATCAAGTCCGACCCCCTGCCATGGGCCGGAAAGAATGCTGGGGTCAAACGACCCCAGCTAGGTGATCATCTAGCCTCCTTTTGAAGACCTCCAGGGTAGGAGCGAGGGGTCTAGCCAGGTCTTAAAAGCCTCCAAGGATGGGAAGTCCGCAACCTCTCTGGATGACCTATTCCAGTGCTTTACTACCCTCTTTGTGAGAGAGTTTTCCTTAATATCCAACCTCAACTTCCCTGGCTGCAACTTGAGCCCATTGCTCCTTGTCCTGTCATCTTCCCCCACTGAAAACAGCCCAGCTCCATCCTCTTTGCAGCCCCCCTGCAGCAAGTTGAAGGCTGCTTTTCAATCTCCCCATAGTCTTCTCTTCCCTTGACTAAATAAGCCCAGTTCCCTTAGCCTCTCCTCACAAGTCGTGCCCCAGCCCCTGAACAATTTTCATTACCCTCTGCTGGACTCTCCAATTTGTCCACATCCTTTCTGCAGTGGAACTTGGATTTTGAATAATTGGAACTAGGGTGTCACATTTTTTTTAAACCTTCCCCTCCACCTCCTCCCCATGTATTAATAGTGAAGTAAAGGCATAGTTCTGTCCAAACCTAATGGTGTATTGCCCCAGCACGTTTAAGGTACTGTCATGAATAGTATATAAGGGTCTAGCAGCACATCTGCCCACCTTTCACTCCCTACCCTGAATGAACAAGTACTTGTCCCCCCTTTTCTTCTTTTTTACCCGTCAAAAGCCTTTCACATGAGTCTGGAGCAGGGCTTATGCTTCTGAAGCTTTGGCTTACTCTGCCATCTTATCCCATCGGTCATAAATATTTGTCATATTTCTCTAGCTCGACAGAATTGCCCATGTCAATAATCCGTTTCCTCTGATAAGGAAACAGTTACCAGAATTTCAAATGCTAACAACAGCCCTGACCCTGTAAGTTTCTAAGGTCATATTGTGACCAGATTATTAGAAATTAAATGTTCAATCAGCATTCGATTTGGTGGCCAAAGTCTTTGAAAGCTTTGGTTTCTTGCTGTTAATGGGCCACTGGGCAACAAGTCCCTCAATCACCAGCTAATAGTTGAACAAGATAGAAATGAGGTTCAATATTGAGTTAGGCACATCTAGGAAAATCAGTTTATTGTGCGTGTGTTTGAACAAGAAACCTTAATTGCTTCTCTCTTTTTGTAGGATTAATGTAAATTAGATATTAAAACTCTTTAGGTCAGGGCCTGCCTGCTTCTATGTATTAGTACAGGGCGCAACATCCTAGGGCCTCTGGGCATTAATGCTATAAATAACTCATGAGCAAGATGTTTTAAACTGTGCTCCTGAATAGGTCACTGTTGGGCATGCAGTAATCATGAGGATAGTGCAGGAGAGACCAAGCTGAAACTAGCTGTGTGACAGTTAGGGGAGGGGATCCCTTTTATCCATCTGAAATTGTCTGATGGTGAGAACTCATGCTCTGGGACATGCAAAGTACAAGTCCTATTAATAGCCTTTTTGGGGGGTGGAAACTGCAGTTGGCAGTGTGCTTGCTCTCCCTCTTCAGTACAATAGAAGAAAAAAGTAGACCTTTAATTCTCTCATTGCGGTCTTTGTTATAGCCCCAAGTCACTTTCTGCCTCTTCTTTCTGATTTGAGGTCCAGCCAGTAAGGCCTTAAGTTCCCGGAGCTCTTGAGTCAGACCCCCTGGTTCTTCTTCCATAAACAGGTTCTTGATGGAGGTTTCTTATATTAAATACTTCTTGCTGTTTCTTGCCAGGTTTGGAATTCAGTTGGTAATTATGAAATTGTGCCATTCTTAGCATGTTGCAAAAGACCCTGGAAATAGGGGACAAACCTGATGCACAGTTGCTCAGAAGGAGTTTCTTGTAATAGTGGTGGTTTAAAAAAAAAAAAAAAAAAAAAAATCTCACCAAGCCCAGGCCAGCATGATTGTGTTCTTGAAAGGAACCAGTGGATCTGAGAAACAGCGATAATGTCCCATCTGGAGATGCTTGTAATATAGATCTGCCAGTCAAGAAACCTCACAGTTATTCCTTTAGGATAGTAAGGAAACTGGAGAGATGAAAGGAGAGAGCAGCTGAAGGGATCCAAAAATTCTGACTTGCTTGATTGTATCTGATTACCGCTGTGAGTGGGAAAACCTACTAAACTGAATTGGTGGATATGAGTCACTAACAAAAGTTCCAGGTAAGAAATTACCAGTTATTTATTTCTAAACTTGAGTGTTAACTTAATAAGGGATATTATTTGTATAAAAATGGATTGAATTGTGTATGTGTTCTCAGTATAAAGCACTGCTTGTATCAGCATATGGATATAAGGGGAATTGAAACTGTTTTTAGCTTAATGTAAATTAAATTAACAAAGCTACCTGAGATCTCTTTGTGACTATTTTTAATAACTGGTGAATTGGATTGCTTGATTATATTTGCTGGGATGCTAGTTGTTTTCTCTATTAATACACTTAACTTGCATTCTAGCTCCGCCATTCAGAGACAGGCATCGTGTGGTGGGTTGTGTGACAGTGTCTGTCAATAGTGAAGACAAATAGTGCCAGAGACACTTAACCCATCCAATCTCACCCAGGGTATAGGTCGGTCTTGTTTTCAGACTTCTTCATAAGTCTCTTTCCTTTCTTTCTTTTTTTGTTTCTAAATAGTGGATTGATACTGATTGAAACTAAACTTTTTTTGTAAAGTTTTTGACTTTACATATCAGAAGAAGAAAAGTAGAAATCCAAGGTTGGCATGTGAGGTGTTGAAAGCAGGTTTGCAGCCACTTTGTAAGTTCTGGTTCTCTTAAAACGTCTGGACCTCTTAAAACTTTAGCAACACAAGGTTGATGTTGAAAATTGTGTGTAGAAATCTTTGTTTTATTCTAAACAGTTATTTTGTGTTCAGTGGTTCTACAAATAAATATTCACTGAAAGCCTGAACATTTAATTATCGAACATATAACATGTAAAGTAAATAAACTACATTCACAAAGGCTGTATTCCATTGTGTGAGGCCTGTACAAAATCCAGGTTTCACCCTGTGTGGTGCTAAGTCTTTTTTTCTCACTAAGTGTTTTCTGAACAGCCAGTAGTGGACCATGCAGGCTGGATGAGAAATGAGATTTCTTTAAGAGTTTCTCCTGTGTTGTGGCTGTTCATACACAGGTGATTGAAAAAATAAAAAGGGCCATCTCTAATGTATTTACATTTGAAATCTTGAGTTTTCCACTTTGGGATATAACTTGCTTTGCAGTTAAACTGCAGCTTTAAATGCCAGTAGGGTGGCATTTGTTTTTTTCATGGTCTGAGCATCCTGGTAGCACTGAATGACTCCTGTGGAGAGACACCAAGGTTTTCAGGATTGGCTTCATTTAAGACTTGTCTGATGAGAGCAACTCCCTAAATGGCAAGCAGTGATTATTTTTAATTTAGATTTTTTTAAAAGCTAAAAGTCTGTTTAATTTGGTAAGATTATAAAGTGTAGAAATATGTATACACAAATTACTTAATAATTTCAGAAGGTAATAACACTTTTGCTTTAAAGTGGTTGCTCTTCCTGATATTAGCTTGGAAGCATGCATTTATGCCGTAATGGCACTGCATCCCATCCTACTCTCTCCTTTTTTGGCTGCTTTTTATTTTCAGAATGAACCTAAATTATCCCAGTCGATAGCGGAGGCTGTGGGAATTAGTTTACTTTGCTGTCCTGAAAGTGAGATAGGCACTTGGGACTAATAGGCAGCTTTCAGGCTTTTGGAAGTGAACGTACAGCTGAACTGATGTCCTGACCAACTGGAAATTCTGCATCAGTCCTAGGTACACTGCAAATTAAAGGTGCTTTTTCCTTCTTTTGCATTACAAACTGCAATGGTAACCAATTATGCTAAATTACAGTTCTCGATTTACTCTAGGTTCTTTCTTTTTCAAACCACAGAATTACATCTTGTTAGTGAGTAAATTGTTGTTGAAAATTAAACAGGAAATGACTTGTGTTAAACTGCTTGTTTTGTATTAATCTGCTTGGTTTTATGGAGAAATATTTGCAAAAGGAGAGGCAACAAATTTAAGAGAGCTGCATATGTAATTTCTTCTTGCTTCATCTAAAGTAGAAGAGGTCATCAGAATAAATTTAGTTTCCAGCAGTGGTACAACTTGCTCTGACAGGAAAAAAATGAAATATAAAGTACAGTTGCAGGGCTTGTGCAGGCCATGTTTATAGTCCTGTGGCAATACACCCTTCATGAACTGCACTTGGCTTGTATTTTATAAATTTGAATTTTAACATTACTTAATTTTAAGAAGGCTGTATTGAAATATGGAGTAATATTTAGTCTTGTATGTCAAATATAAGTGTAGTAAAAATAACATCTAAACGATATTTCCGTTTGTTGTTATTGGCAAGCACTGTTAATTAAAGTACAGGTAGTAGAGTCATCAGTAACAGAGGCACCCTAATGTGTGTCTAAAGAATAACTAATGTTCCAAATCAAAAACGAAATGCTTACATTGGAAAATGTGTGCCTGTGCCCTAACTTTGCAGAACGCAAAGAGGGTTGTTGACTAATGCTGCTGACATTCAGGTGGTTTTTACACTCATTTTCTGTGTTGTTGAGAACAGTACCTTTCTACTGAGAATTTCTTAAAAGGCTGAAAAAGTAAAATGTGGAATAAAATCAGTGAAGGATTAAACAATTGAAAACTTGGAATAAAGACCACGTAAATGTGTCTTAATCAAGAGATCCCCTTTATGTTTTGGGGATGTGTGCATTAAAAGTAGCTTTGAAATAGTTTAAAAACAAGATGGGAACTATATAAAATCTGCATAAGCTTGTTATTCATTATAGTAACTTTATGAATTCATACTTGGCTGACCCTCCTTGTTTACAATTTGAAGTAAGAAGATAAGTTGGCAGGAGGCCTATTGGCTCTACCTGTGAAAACTAAATACTGCTGCTTTTTTAGTGGTACCATAATTTGGAAAGTTTGTAAAACACCAGTGACATTCAATTATTCTGAGAACTGAATTTCAAATTTTCCTGTTTGTACAAAGGCATATCAGCAAGGAATCTGGTTCTTTCATTGGCATTAATGACTTTCATGTTTCTCATATTTTTAAAATTATTACAACACTGATTTGTACATACTTTATGCCAGTTGCGTGCTAGTGGATGGTATTGCTGTCCATTTGAGAGGAGAAGGATATTTGAAGTATATTAAACAAAAATTTAGTTTGTCATTATTATTTCCTTCAATTAAAAATCTGCATTACTGACAGCAGGCATACAATATAATCAATCTCTGAAAGACCACAAACTCGCTTCTTAAAAAAACAAGGAAGAAATTTTGGTTTGGAGCCTTATAGTATTTTCAAATAAGTTTTTACTCTTCACTAATAAGCCTAAGGCAGCGTGTCCTTTACCGGCTATTTAGTTTTATGCTAATAAGTAGTTTTGTTCAATGAATTTGTACAGGAAAATGAAGGTAAAAAGCAACTCATGGGTTACTCTGCAGCGTTCTATGCGCAAGATAGGATCACCGTGTCCCAGTGGAGAATCGTGTAAAGTTTTGCTTTAAAAGAACTTTCTTAATGTTTTACATTTGTTATTTGCTACAAAATAAGTTTATATCAGTAACCTGTGTTCTATAGAAAAAAGATTTAGGTTTTTTCCAAATCTAGAGCCTTGCTACCTGTTTCACAGGTCAGGTGCATAATCATGACTTCACTTAAGGTCTTGCAGGGTCCAAGAGATGTTTGTATTATGCATGGTGTTTAGTCATCTGTAAAAAGATGAATGCCTAAGAAGGAAAGTGTTCCTGTGCAGGAATACAAATCTGCAGCGATTATTACGTGCTTCATGTATTCCACTTGCAAACACTACATGCAGCACGCCTACTGTATGCACACTGCATACTTGTATTCCTGTTAGGGAGTACACAAATACTGAATGGAAACTAATGTTTTATATTAGCAAAACAAGTTAAAAATCAGCATATGGTAATAAATGGTCTCAACTCAAAGTGGCTGCAAATCAGCTCCTAAATATTGTCATTGAAATTAATATCTAGATTGACTAGTTCTCACCAATTTTGTAAATGTTCCCAAGGAAAAGCATTGCATTAATGCATGACACAAAAAAGATAAATTTGCCTTTAAATTGGAATGTAATTCACAGTGACTGAATCTTGCAATTTCAGCCACTGCATTTGCCAAAGAACAAACTGGAAAATGGAACTGGTATCATTCAACTGCTCCAGCTTCTCCAGGAGATGGGGGAAAGGAACTTCTTTCTACATGGCTGAAAGTAGAGTAATTTATTGATAAACTGTACTGACAACTACATTTCTCTTAAACCTTACCAGTGCTAGGTTGGGCAATATTTAATTTCACTTAGGGAAGAAAAGCATTAGAGGATTGTTTTTGGTTTTTTTTACAAGAAACAATTGCGTCCCTGTTTTAAGGACTTTTCATAAGTAATGTTTTCCATTTTAATTGCAAATATACTATTTTTAGTAGAGCTAGAGTGTTGTAGCCATAGCCATGAGGGTCCCGGAAATGTATGATGTGAATGAAGGGAGAATGGCAGTGAAGTATAGGAGCAAAGAGAGGTGATCAGAAGTAGCTTCAAAACTAAATGTGGTTGAACGGATAACCTAATTATGTAGAAGGGGTGTCCTGTTCTCCATCCTTTAAGCAGCTGCTTTCATTTATCTAGAGGTAAACAGAAACCATTTTTTTCTGTTATTTAGCTAAGCCTGTGTCTGCTTTCTCAGACCTGAAGAAGGGCACTTTGTCCAGAAGCTTGTCCACCATCTTTCCTGACTATACATTTGGTCTAATAAAAGATATCACAAAAAATCTTGCCCATTTTTTAAGTTTGTTGTCACTGTTGTTTAAGCCCATAGTTCACAGCTACACAGACTTTATTTTTTCTTGTTTACTTCTCCGAGATTTCCTCTGTCATTCAACCTGGATTAACAGAAATGATTCCTTCAATTTTCGATTACTTACGAGGAATCTATTACCTTTTTTATTTTAAGAAATCTAATCTTGCAAGATAGATATTGTGTACTGTATTTCAGTAATGACAATATCTTTAGCTATTGATATTCCAAGGTGTGCAGCATCATGCCATGGATATTTACCAAGTTATTCTTTTAAAACATGTCCAATTCCTATTATTTATTATTTGATTTGTGTGTGTGTGGCCAACGCTATTTAAACAGAGAAGAAAATAGTTTATTTCCCTGAATCTTATCATCTAATCTATAATAAAAAGTCCAGTGAACTGTTCTGTAATAAGCCTCAATTAAAAATATATCAACTTTCATTTTAAGTCATTTTTGTTTGTTTCACTTGCACGCCTATGGTAAAAGGTTTGAGAGAGATTTGTCCAGAAAGTCTTTTTTAATAGAAATGATTATGTTGCTCTCTTCTGTGTGTGTTTTAACCACTTAATCCTGCTTTCACGTTTCAAAAGCAGCCTGATCTTTAGAATGCCTGGTTTAGTCCGTCAAATCATCTTTGGGAGTAGGTGGGTAGAGGGCCCTATTAATTATTGTTCCTGAAGACTCTGAAGCATGAGCGAACTTTAAGAAATCTGTCCCAAATTGGTTCTATACTGCTTTTTTCTCTGTATAAGGGAACTGACTAACAAATTCTGGGGGAGTTTGCCTGAGGCTACCTCTTCCAACCTCAGATCCTGGTTAGAAACCTCTTACTTTTTTGTACCCAGCATGCTCCAAATCAGATATTTCATTTCCATTCTCACCTTACACAACCAGGAGTTATATAGTGACTGGTACCAGTTCCATTTTGCCTACAATTCAGTTGATTTTTCTATTTTATTTCTCATTTTATAATTGATATCTGGAATAATCAGCAGCTCTTTTCTCATTTATTTTCTCATATTTTTATTCCAGGATTTGCCTCTGAAGCAGGGAGTGTCTGCATTAAAAATGACCTGTAGTTCTCTGCTTCATAGGTTAGAAACTTATTTTAATATTTTGTGGCTAAGCACAGTCCCATCTTTTTCAAAAAATTCTAATAATGAATGGTTTAATTGGCATTGAATGTGGACTACAAGCATTTTGCATTGGGGTTTCCATTATTTTTGATAAAATGGCTTACATTCAAATAATTAGTCCTGTTGAGGCAGCAAATACTGTTTACTTGCAGCCATTTTTATGACTTAAAGTTAAGTTGTTTTTTTTAATTGATTACAGCATAAAAGATTAAGTACCATTTGGACACTTCAAAAATATTGTATTGCTTAGGCCTTCTATTGCTTTAAGCACTTATATTTAAACCTTACCAAATTCCAAATATGCATTTGGGGGAAAAATCAGTTTACAAATCATACTATTTCAGTGGGACTGCTATAGCCAGCGCAGATGGCAATAGGTATCTTGTATTTACTTCTGAATTATACACCGCAGATGCTTCTTCAGCTCCCTCCTCTTCCTCCATGGGCGGTGCTTGCAGCTCCTTTACCACCTCTTCCAGTCCTACCATTTACTCTACCTCAGTCACCGACAGCAAGGCTATGAAAGTGGAGAGCTGCTCCTCAGCCGTGGGGGTAAGTAACCGAGGGGTAAGTGAAAAGCAGTTAACCAGTAACACAATCCAGCAGCAACAGTCAACGCCGAAGAGACACACAGTCCTGTACATCTCACCACCACCTGAGGATTTGCTGGATAACAGTCGGATGTCCTGCCAGGATGAAGGGTGTGGATTGGAGTCAGAGCAGAGCTGCAGTATGTGGATGGAGGATTCCCCCTCCAACTTCAGTAACATGAGCACCAGTTCCTACAATGATAACACTGAGGTGCCACGTAAATCACGCAAACGCAATCCAAAGCAGAGGCCAGGGATCAAACGCCGAGATTGTGAAGAATCCAACATGGATATCTTTGATGCCGACAGTGCCAAAGCGCCTCACTATGTCCTTTCTCAGCTCAGCACGGACAGCAAAGGCAACTCAAAAGCAGGAAATGGGTTGGTATCTACATTTTTTAAAGTTCTATAAGCATATGTAAAACCAGACTAATAAAACATCCCTTGATTTTTATTTTTTTTCTCAAGTGTCTTGCTTGGGTTCTCACATAAACAGAGCCTGTCCTGCCCTGGTGTATCTTAATCTATGATAAATTTTGTACTGGAAAAGGCAAAGCTAAGATTTTTTGAAATGCAAGATTCTGAATTTCATTATTCATTCCAGCACTGATGCGATTAGCTAATTTATTTTCACCAGTTGATTGAGGTTCTTAAAAGATAGGAAGTTTTAAGCGAATAACTCCATCTCTGCAAATAAAAGAAAAGAAACTAAGCCATATGTTTTATACAGATCTTACATTTGTTCAATACTGCTTTTCCAAAATTACCTTGTTAAACATTTATGTGAGGATCTCAGTCTGTACACTTTACCTCTGTCTGTCTTTTTCTCTATTTACCAAATAGAGAGAGCCATGGGTATAGAAATTAATGCCTTGTTAAGGTCTCTCAGCATTTAAATTAACACCTCTTCCACTTTTTGATAAAATGTTAAGATTATATGCTGAACCAAATTTTGTTTTACGTGTTAATTCAATTCTGTATTTGATTTTTTCAGAAATAAATCTCTAATCCTGTTTCTCTCTGTGCTTCTGGGTTGTGTGCATGCGTGTGTTTGTATGTGGGCACGCCTGGGTGGTGTTCTCTCATCTCTCCACTTCACACTGTTCACTATATACATTTCAGTAGTTGCTTTAGAGAGAAACTGTACGTCGATTTACAATAGTGTGATTTTTTTTGTTTTGTTTTGTTTTGTTTTGACTTGTGGCTTCTTTAATACTTATTTTTATGCTACAGTCTACAGTGGGTACATTTGTTTTTACTTTTATGTATGTGCTTGCAGTATGTTTTAATGTTCACTACTGGTGTGGTGAATATTAAAATAAGACTGAAGGGAAAGATGAGGTTTTTTTCATATTCCAAAGGGAAAGAGCCCTTTAGTCTGTATTCCCAGGGTCATTGCAGTTCCATACTTAAAATGCCACTAAAACCAATGATTCTAAGAAACTCTCCAGAGTGTGCTACTGCTTTGTAGTATCTTAGAGAAGTCATTTGGTAAGATGGGAACCAGGATGTAGAATACACACATGTGCCCACTCATCCTCCAGCAAAAATACATAACATAAGGGGTAATAAAAATGTTAGTCATTTGGATGAAACCATCCAACCTCTTGTATTTTCACTGGGGTGAAATAATAATTAAGTCAAACATTACATGTTTTTAACTTGTTTTGTGACTTCAAAACGGAATACATATTGATATAAGACATTTCCTTGGAAGGACAGAAAACAGGTACCACCAATCTTAAAAGAAGCCAGTTAATGATCAGTTACCATGGATAGAAACTTTCCCTGAAGTTAAGAGCTGTGTGCTCATAGAAGTCATCTCCAGACAAGATGGACAGACTTAGAAAGTACAGACTAATAAATATGACCTCTGCAACTTTAATGATGAAGAGGTTACAACTATAATATTCAATATTAGTGTAGCAACAACTAACTAGCATATATCAATAAAATAGAGGTTTTCTAAGGACAACCTTAAATTTTGGATACGCTTCCAAGTAGTAGATTTGTATTGAGGGGTTCTGGAATCAGAAAAAACTAGCATGGGTATAAAAAAAAAACCCTTCTGTAGTTACACTGTGGAGGTTCAGCACTAGAAATCCAGGTTGTGGAAATGACTTTTTGTTTAGTTTTGTTTTTTCTGCTTAGTGGAGCTCAGGCAAATGAACTGGCATCTGGAGAGAGGGAAGGAAAGGACACTTGCTATTCTTCCTGATTGCAAAATGGACACACTGTTAGTTTCAGAAGAGATTAATTGTTTTCTCTGAAGGCTATAAATTAAAAAAAAACAAAAAACGGGGGGGGGGGGATGTTCCTTACAAGGTGTCAGTTTGCAAAGCCTTTTTAAAAGGGGTCAAAATGATTGTCCAGGGGAAAAGGGAAAATTCCTGTTCCTGATTTTGAATTATTTTATCTCATTTTTCACTCTTTCTTTGTACCAGTAGAATGGGCTTGCTAACTTTACTTCCGAATGCTCTGTTTCTGACTAATCTCAATTAATAAATACGTATAGGTAAAATATAAGTGTCGCTGTTTGTACAAGCATGGAAAATGTCAAGGCGGCTGATTCTAGCAGAACAAGATAACTAAATTAAAAGGACAGTAGAAATGCTATCTCTTTATAGTTCAGAATAAGGACTGAAGAGAGATTACAGTTGGTTGTTTAAAATTCCTCTCAAACAGTTATTTGCAATCTAATTTGCTAATTTCAATATATTCTGGGAAAATATTTTAAACAATTGGTAAGCAGTGTCTTTTCAAACAAAAACAACACAATATATGTGCATATCTATACCAATCAAGGTAAATCACGTTCAAACGTCAAATTATTTAAGGAACTGTTTAGGTAATATCAGAAGTCCCAGTTATTAAATGTGATTATATTTTTAAAAGTTGCATGAATGTGACAATTCTAATGGGCTGCATTTACACTGTTTACTCTTCCCATCAAAATTCCTATCATCTCAAAGCCTCCTTTATTAATTGCTTAGCTGGAATTCTGAGCATGTCAAAATGTGTAAGTGATGGCACATCTCTTATCGAGCATTGTCTTGTGACGTTACAGATAACTAGGTGAGCTGCACAGGCCAGGAAAAATCTTGCTGCTTTGAACAGTATGCCTTTGCTTTTATAATAGTTACATTGCTTAGTGTTTCTTTTCAGATTCTCTGTGGGAAGCTAGTATGTTTAATCGCACAACTAAAAATCCTAAATGACATGAAAAAGGAAATTTACTGACTGAAAGGTTAATACTTTTAACTGCTACTGTACTGGAGTAATGTCCTGACAAACATCTGGAGGACTGAAGGTCTAAAAACCATTTATTCAATTAGTATTTTTGGTGCAGCATACTGCTGGTATCTTTGTCTTGCATAGTATTTTGTTGGACTTTTATATGTTGTTCCAACTGAAGAAATGTTTCTGTAAAAGAAAAAAGAAAAAAATCACCCACTGGATGAAAGCAAAAAGTGGGCTTTTTTGTAACAGCCTGTGTGGCTAAACTGTGGCTGAATAATGAAGATGCTTGACAGTATAATGGTACTGTTGTCATTTTTATGTTTTTATAACCTCTGTGATCTGTATCTTTGCTATTTAATCTGAAAACAAGTATACCAAACAGGTCTGCTTTAGTCAGTGAAGCAGACTGGGTTTCATGCTGTACTCCTGAATAAACTAGCCCACATCCCGCTGTCATTTTTTTGTCATATGTTCTTATCTATGACAAACCTGGTGGACTGAATTTTGTGAAATATCAGGCAGGTAGAGCAACCCTTCTCCCCCCACCTCCCTGACTCATGGAAGGGCCTCTTGTAGTAGGATCAATGTAGTAGCGGTGGAGTTTGAAAATCTGCACACACAATACCCACTTCCTGCATTTGCAGAGCCCTGCTCCAGTCCATTGTGCAGTGAGAATTTCAGGCAGGGGGCTTCTGTGTAGACCTGCCAGTATGTGAATCCACTGCTAAATAAGACAGGAAGCAGTGTGGACAGCTTCAGTTTAAAGACCAGCAAACTAACTGTGAAGTGGCTCAGCCACCAGTGAATGGCTTTGAGGGAAGGGTGGGTTCCTTTTCCTCTTTGCTTCAACTTCAGGGAGATTGTCCAGCTGAATTGCTGATGTGGTGCACTTGAAAGTATTAAGTATTAGGCAGTTCATAACCTTTCTCTTATTTCAGGCTGTCTACAGACTTAAGAAGGCAACACTTTATCTGTGTCACAATCAGGTCTTCACAGCTATAGTCACTTAAAACTGTTTCTTTTGGTAATGTTAGAGATTAAATCCTGCACGAGCCAATTAAGCCCTCCTTTTGCCTGTCCCAGTTACCAGGGAGCATTTCTGTTTGCTACTGGTAAATGGGTTTATCAGACTTTGGTTCGTAATTGTTACACAAACCTCTGCTGTGCAAGGTCAGTGAGATACTCACTCTCTCGGTCCTTTAAAGTTGACAGAAAAATGGATTGTGGAATGTTAAACTTTGGAGGGCTTCTTCATTCAGGTTTTAACTATGGAACTGATTGCAAGCCGATATACTTTTATGACAGCATACCTAGGAAGAGACGGTCCTGTTGCATGCTGAGCCTAAAGGACAGAAGAGACGCTGAGGGTACAGTTGTACCAGGCCCCCAACCTGGATGGGAGGGCATAAAGCAGATTCCTCTCTTTTCTATTTTTTTCCCTACCAGGATGTATTGGCCCCCCCAAATTTCTTTTGGGCCCTGGTTGTATGCACAGCATGTGTTTTAAAGTTAGTAAAATTACGGCAAATTTCTATTAACTGTTTGTCTTAAACAGTATTTTAATATGCATCTATTAGGCTGGTCTGAAAGATACTACTTAATAGTATTTGGGAAGTTACATAGTGACACAGATTCAGGAGGAGATAGGCAGAAGAATGTTTTTTCTATAGAAAAAGAAAATTACATCCCTCATTCTTATTTCTGTCCCCTCTCTCTAATAGCTTGGTCTAAGCATTTTTTTCATACATGTTCTGACTATAAAATATACTTTAACAATAACAGCCCATAAGCCTTCCTCCTGCCTGCCTGTTAACTTATTTTAGTAGTGCTAATTATTTCTCTTCCTTTACTTGTAATCATTTGCGTTGGCTGGAGGAGGCAGGAAATGACCATTCCCTTTGTCCCTTAGGGTTCCTTCCATATCTGAGATAAGTCTAGTTAAAACATTTGATCTTGCCTCTTACCTGATAATTTGCACTACTATTGATGGCACTCCCTTGCCTTGATTTGCTTTTATAGGAACATTTCTTATAACACTTCTCAATGGTTTGCTTTGACTTCTCAGAACATCAGAAAACCAGAAAGGACCTGGAGGGAAGAAGACGCCAATGTTGTGTGGACAGTATCCGACTAAAAATGAGGGGAAGGAGCTGAAGATAGTGGTACAACCAGAGACGCAGCACAGAGCTCGGTACCTGACTGAAGGCAGCCGAGGCTCAGTGAAAGACAGGACACAACAAGGTTTTCCAACTGTGAAGGTAGGCTGTTTAGCAATACATTAACATCAGGGAATGCCTCTACAGGAAAACAATTTTGGTAGAATCTACTACTTATTATTTTTCAAATTCACATACATTTTTAGATGTAGACTGCTTTCAGGTATATTACTGCTTTAAAAAAAATAAAAGTGCAATTTAAAAGTGACAAAATTGAGGAAATTCCCTGCAACCACCGTTCATTATGCCTACTTTTTAAGACTGCTTCAGGCAGTTTCTGTAAATATGTATAAACAAATATTAAAGCTTTTCATATCAGGACTGTTAACTTCAGTTTGTCATGTGAGCATTAAGAAATGATGTAATCTGTGGATTACTAATGGGAGTGGAGGCAGTCATGACATACCTTGTTACTACAGCTAAGGAAAACTGAAACCCCTGGGCTTTTTGTACATTTCAAGAGGAGCATCAGCACACCTCAGTCACGATCTCTATCTTGGGCTGCAACTAGTACCCAGTGCTTTTGAGGAATGCGAACCCTCCCTCCCACCCCCTCCTGCCAAGAGACCCCCATCACCTGTAGAAACAGGAGGGAAAGAATTTCTTCCTGGCCCCATGTAACAACCTGCAAAGTCCAGAAGCATGAGACAGCCAAGCACCCTGCACTCTGCTCTGCAACCTCAGGATTGCATACTCGGCTCCCATGCATCACACCCATCTTCTCCGTAATCTCATCTCGGCTCCTTTAATCTTATATAACCAAGCCAGTTGTGGAGCTCTGCTTCATTCTCCTGTTGCTAAGTATGGTCCTCTCCAGTTTCTACCTGCTTTTCTCTCTGAGAGGGGCAGAGAGAGAGTGAGTGAGTGAGTCCTTCCTGATATCCAGTCTAAATCTACTTTGCTGCAGTTGCTATATGTCTTGCTATCTGGAGCGAGGGAGAAAAGGTGTTCTCCTTTTCTTTATTGGGGTCCCTTTTCTTTATGGTGAGCAGCTACTCACCAGCTCAGGCAGTTGGCCTTAAAACAAGTTTTGGTGGAACAGTTGAGAACCATACACTGCACTCTGGGTCTGGTACCAAATCTTAGCATCCATCAAAAGAAGAGAATGTGGAAGTAGGCTTATCCAGAAGGCCTCAAGAACAACATGCATGCCCTTTCAAACTAATAGCAGTATCGGCATTGGTTCGTGGGCCAACCATCATTTGCTGGCTATCCTACCAGCTATGCTAGTTTGCTCACTGAGTGCTTCCATGAAGTACAAGAAACTGTAGGAAAGGAAAAACATTTATTTCATGGTATTATTTGTTGAATATGCAGCCCAAGTACATCAAGAACTGCAGGCAGGCTGACAGAGCCACACACTGAGTGGATCCGTGGCTCAAACAGTAGAAAACTAATGAAAACTGTAATGTCATAAACCCATCCACAGGGGCCCATGAAGCCCTGAGTTTTCCCCACTGTGCTGCTGCTTACCCTAGGGAACAGACTAAGGTTGCTGTGGGATAGGAGCTCTCTGTCCCGGAATGCCTCTGTTCCACTGCCCTTATATTGGACTCTACAGACACAGTGAAGGAATCTTCTTAACTCGTATCTAGGTTGAGAAGAAATTATAGGCCCCATTGAATTGGAGCAAATTCTAGTTGGGTTTCTCCATAGGCAAGCCAGTCAGGACAGTGATTAGACCACATGCAAGCCTGAAGGGATGCAGCACTCACCCGGGTTCACGGACTGTCTGAGGAATCCATTCTGAACAAGAGTAAGCATATATAAACTGGCAAGAGCTCATGGCAATCCAGTATGGTCTCCAGCCATGCACAGTATACCTTTTTGTGCTGATTGACAGGCACCCCCCTCTGCCATATTGTATTTTAGCAGACAAAGGGGGACAAATCTGCAGTCCATCGAAGAGAACCTCACTGCCTGATATTTGTATAGAGTAGAATCTGCAGTGATTAGCTGACTGCACAATCCAAAAAAAAAAAAAAACAGAGGAGGAGGTTTGAGCCACCTTTGTTCAGCTGGCGGAACTTGGATCATACAGAATAGGAACTAGGGCTAGGAGCATTTCATCTGATGAAGGGATTTGATTTCCCAGGACCAGAACTGTTTGGCTTCTACTCAGATAAGGAGATCTCAGTGTTCTTCTCCTGTTGGTAGGATCACAAAGCTGGGCCAACTGTGAGTGCCCTTATGCAGAGATGATGAGAGGGGCTCTTGTGTGCCTTCCCTCTCTTTGCTGTCCTTACTAGAACACTGAGGAAATCAGGAAGGGCACGATACAAGTATTACAGGCAAGGAGACCGTAGTCCTCTGACCAAGTTGATGTGGCAAAGAGATCTTGCTTTCACCTTTTTTTCAGAAAGGGATCTGATGCTACAAGGAGTTAATTGTGCATCATAATTCACACAACCTGAGTATAACTGTCAGGCTCTTGAACAAAACCTCTGAAGTCCAAGAAGTTATTAAGAAAATGTAATATCCATATTTCCAGCTTCCAGAAGGATCTAACTTGGTTCTGGGACTTGGGGTGAGGTTTCCCTACTGACATTTTCCCTA